TTTTATCACCTGTCACCTGTCCAAAAGTCTCTTAATAAAACTCTACGAAGGGCAAATAGAAAAGCTAATTAATAATTTTAATCCAAATATTGTATGCTTTATCTCAGTCAAAGCTGTGGAACAAAACATGCAACCCAAGTAACCAATCTGGGAAACGTGATTAGAATGAAGGAGCTACGTCACGCAATTTGTTATCTTTTCAATAAGAAAACTGAAACGTTTCCTCGCATCATTATTTCAAAACCAATGAGCCAGTTGATTTGTAATTTCCGAAAATATTTTGGTATTACGACTGTTTTCTCGTCTGTTGGTAAGGGGGGGGGGGCAATGATAGACACGGATTGAAACTTGAAAAACCTGGGCGAACTTAAATATTCAAGTTTGCAAGATTTAATGGCTGTGCCTGAAGAATCACTAAAAATAATGTTATGGTCAAAAATTTCTGATGAAATAACTTTTTCCTCTTCTTTTTAGTGAATGCGTAAAAGCACCAAGTGATCACTTCAGCTCAGAATTGACCAAGAACAGAAAATATCCTCGTGACATAGCCCCAGTAATTCCTCGAACCTATCTTATCTCCTTTAGTTAAAAACTTTGTAAAACTTTAAAACTTTGATGCCATGCAGACATTCTGCAGACTACGACTATGACAGACTTGGCGCTTGAGTATTATTTTGGCATCCTGCATTTAAGTATTGGTTATTCAATAAAGCCATTGGCCTAGATAATATCAGTGCTCGTCTACTGAAAGATTCAGCCTCAGTAATCAGTGCCAGTCTTACTAGATTATTTAATCTTTCCCTGGAAACTCGCACCTTTCCTTCTCTTTGGAAATTTGGAAAAGTGGCAGCGTTATTCAAGAAAGGTGATCGCTGTGATGCTAACAATTACAGACCCATTACTGTGCTGCCAACGATCAGTAAAATTCTAGAAAAAGCCGTGCACACCCAACTGTACGCTTATCTTAAAAACAATGGTATCCTTACATCTAAGCAATTTGGGTTCAGGCCGAAGTTATCAACTGGAACAGCCCTATCTCATTTCACAGACAATATCCTCCAGAATATGGACGCTGGTTCCTTTACAGGTGCTGTTTTTCTGGACCTGTCTAAGGCCTTCGATACAGTGGATCATCCCTGCTGCTGCAAAAATTGACGCACATCGGTCTTACCACCTCTACCACCCAGTGGTTTAGATCGTACCTCACAAACAGATCTCAAATTACATCAGTTGGAGATGCTCACTCTGCATCTACCGAAATGCCTATTGAGTACCCCAAGGAAGTATATTGGGACCTTTATTGTTTTTAATTTACGTGAATGATCTTCCGGACTGTCACCTGGCAAGCGATATTATTCTTTATGCAGACGATACTGTACTCTATTACTCATCCAAAAGCATCAGTGATCTTGAACATCACATCAATGCTGACTTGGGGACAGTGTCTGAGTGGTTCTCTAGAAATCTCCTGACACTAAATATATCCAAATGTAATTTTGTTATCTTTGGAAGTCCTCAGAAACTGAATCGTATTCAAGGCATTTCGGTTAAAGTAGAGGGCACTAGCATTGAAAGAACACAATCATTCAAATACCTAGGCGTAACGCTTCAACAGTCTATGTCCTGGGCAGATCACGTCGATGCTATCAGCATGAAGATTAATCAGAGAATAGGCCTAATTAGGAGAATCAGGAATCTATTGCCGCTACAAGCTAGAGTTGCCTTGTACAATGCCCTAATCCTCCCTCTTTTTGATTACGGAGACGTTATATGGGGGGACAAAAACAATGACACCATCATGTCAGAATTACAGATTCTACAGAATAAAGCTGCTAAAGTTATGCTGGGGCAACCACCCCGAAGCTCGTCAACTGAAGCACTGAAAAGTCTAGATTTGAAGTCACTGTCCACAAGAAGGTTTTTTCATCGCTGCATTGCAATCCACAAGTGTCTTATTGGAGAAACCGATTTCAGCTTTAATTTTACTAAAAGTCAAGCTGTTCATTCATATAATACAAGACGCTCTAATGATATTCGCTTACCCCTACCCAGAACAAACTGGGGTAAACAAACTTTTATTTTTCACGCCGCGAAAGACTGGAACAGCCTTCCAAATGATTTAAAAGAGTGTAATATTTTATCTATTTTTAAATCCAAGTTAAAAACTTTTTTAAAAGATCTCAGCTAATTTTAAACCTTGATGTTTTTTTGTATAATCGATTTTAAGATTTTAAATTTTTAAATTTGTTTTACTTGTAAACATGTTTTACTTTTTTCGTAATTATTAATTAATTTAGTTAGATTAATGCATGAGGGCCCCACTGAAAACCGCCTTGGCGAGTTGGGCTCCCTCTATAAATATTATTATTATTATTATTATTATTATTGGTTATAACTGCGAAAGCCATTATAATTTTTGGTTTGTAAATAGTTTAGTAAACGTTCTCTCATTGGTCCATTTAATTATTGCTCTGTTTACAATTTTAATTATAAGACATGTGATCGGCTAGAATAATTACATGAAAAGATTGGAATTTGTCAGTTGTGTCACGCAAAATCAGCGAAGTGTAGTCCGGTATAGCAGCGATGAATACTGAACTCGTGTTAGGTTGAGACGCCATGAGCAGTTTGATGTCCACATATCGCTCTGTTGTGGACAAGAATGGCAAAGGTTTGTCGTCTTACGTAGGTTAATCGTAAACTGGAACGATGATTCGAACTTGAGTTCGAAGTGATCAGTTAAGTATCAGTCGATTGACTTGACGGCGACTGGATGATGATCAAATATCCCGCTAGGCTTCTACTTTACTTAATTTTACTCGCTATTAACCAAAACTGCTTAAAAAACTGTCTTGAACTACGAACTACGAACATGGCAAATTTCGGCCCCTCTGTGAAAGCACTCGGTTTTGAAGTCAGTTAAAATAGTCGGTTATCGACACTCACGTATGCTTAAGAATGAATCGCTGATTGCTTTTCAAAGTTGAAAGATATGACAATATGGATTCAAAGATTTAATTTAGTTTTTAACCATTGGAAACAGGTTTAAAGTTGATTTCTAAAATGAACTCAAAACGTGTTAATTTCACGATTTCAAAACATTATTTCCAATGGGGATATTAAAATTTGATGTTTGATTTTTACACCCTCAATATTAAATTTACTCTGACTGTTAAGCCTTTTGACGTAATTACTTAATCATAATGATGATAATTACTCTGCATGTCGCCTTAACGACTGAAAGCTACTAAAAATTAAAGTCAAAATAGCAGCAAACATGGCCTCTGATCTGAATAGCCTACGTGCAGGCATTTCTTTGGAAAGAGGGTGTGTAACACGACTAGACTGAAAAAGTCGTACGGTCGTACCACTCACAGGGCTAATCACACTTTATTGAAGTAAATTAGTCGCAGTATTGAGGATGTGTTAGCCGGGTCTGTTAGGCCGTGATTACAAGGAGGAAGGGTAACCTAGTGCTACGGTTACCCTAGCAAAAGGGTTACCCTAGCGCTCGCACATTTCTTATTTTTTCACACGACGTGTTTACAAGGCGGGTAGAGTTACCCTAGCGCCTGGGTAACCCTAACTAAGTACTAGGGTTACCCCAGCTAGAGGGTTACCCTACCTGCCTTGAAAACGCTCAGCTAGGGATAACTCGCCTACCCGGGTCAACTTTCCGCCGTCATGCGTGACCAGTAATCTAGCCAATTTGAACCGTATTATCCAATTTCTAAAAACATCTGCAAGATAAAAAAGTATTTCCTGTCTACGATGATAATATTTTCCCTTCTTATTTTCCTGAATTTAACGTGTTTTCCATAGAAAATTAAGGACTTCAAGATTATTTTAAATTTTGGACCGTTACAAAGAATGTCAAATTTGCTTGTAAACCAGAGCAAACTTTAACCCGCTTGCGAAGGTAACGGCCTAGCGGAAGGGTAACCCTCTCTCCTGAAATAGGCCCTTGGTAGTAGGGTAAAATTCCGACAATAGGGTATGGCCTTGAAACAGCGACATAAGGCTAGATGAAATGGCGACAAACGAGATAAAGATGGGTTAAATGCCGATTCAGACTGAGGACATACGTACCTTTCAGTGTTTACATTGTAAAAACAGTAACAAAGCATGTATATATTTAGACAAGAGTGCTAGTGCGGATATCTGAAATACGTGTCTATATGCTTTTATACTTAGGGCTTTTTATGGACACTAGTTTAGCCGTCATTAGTATAATTCGACTGTATGATCCTAATATCTCTGCATAATGGAATTCTTTATTTTATAGAATTTTGAACTTTTATTATTAATTATATCCATTTCCTCTTCTTTTAAGTAAGGTTAAGTTACTTCTGTTTTTTAGAATTTGTAAATGAATAGTGTTTTGATGAATTAATTAGATTTTTTGTAACAGCAGGTTGATTGTAAATAGGATTTTAATTGAGGCTTTGTAAAAAAGATTTCATTTATAATAAAAAAAGTAGAAAACAAAACAAAAAAATGATAAGAAAATAATAATATTAATAATAATAATAGTAATAATAAAACATATACACACTGTGGAACTGTCAGATTAACAGTGGTTAGCTAACCGTTTCAGACATAAAAGATCGTCAGGGTTGGACTGAAGTGGCTTAGATGGTAGTTGAAGGCCGGTTAGATCTTGCGTTCCATCGTTCAAGCAAAAGTTCGTACAAGTATACCCCCAGGGGTATACAATATAACAACTTTGTGCTAATGATCCTCTTCCCACCATGTTTTCATCAGGTAGTCCCAAACCCTCTTCTGGGGGTACGCAACGAAGCAATACCTCTCTTTCTAAAGTGCGGCCATTGATTTACAGTGACTCTCTAGAACTCATCTCGAACCCAGGAAGCGCGAAATCAAGTCGGAAACTTATTCCTCCAATTGATGATCATGTTGTTCAAGCCTTTAAACCGGTCAAAACTGGCTTGCCCTTGCACTTTGCGAATGGTTCCTTAGGAGAAAAGGAGAACTTGAACATGATCGACCACGATGGACTATCTGCTCTTCATCGAGCTGTTCGTGTTAACAATATCCAGGATGTAAAAAATATGTTGGATTGTGGTGCGGATATAAACTTGAAGGACAAAGATGGATTTACGCCAATTCATACTGCTGTGAGGTATGTGGGATTAATTAATGCACGGATTCCTAAAGGGGGAATAGAGGAAATGCAAATAAGATACATACTAGCTTGGTGTGCCCTTGTTATCTGGCAGGCTAAGGCGTACTTTGAGTGCGCACGTGCGCACTTAAAAAGACGGAGATTGAGAAAAACAAAAGCAAAAACAACAAAACAAAACAGAAGAGAAGAAACAAAAAAGGAAAAGAATAGAACGAGTAAGCAACAGGTAAAAAAAATATTCTCCCATGTATCTCCTCGAATTTCCCTTTCAACTGCTAAGGAAAAGCAAAATGCAGTGTTTCCCCCGATTTTGCTACACGTGAACACGCGAAGGCCGTGACTGCTACTTGCCGCATACTGCCCTACGACAAAGAAAGATGATTTATTGACCTAACCCAATTGATAGGAAAGAAAATTTATTCCAATCTCCCGCAAGATAAACGATTAAGGAGACGCCGGGTTGGATTAGGAAAAACTGTGCGGAAAAATTCCCAGCTACTGGACGGCCATGGCAATTACCGAGATAGTTATTTCGTAGCTCTTTGAGTTTGTTCCTTTTACCTCATCTCTTACGTGGGATTTATATTATGTATCCTATCCAGTAAGGGCTATTCGTGTGAATGACCTTGTCTTTCATTCAGGAATGGGTCTTGTTCCAGAATCGTCCCATTTTTTTCACGTTGTAAGGGGCGGACCATTAGAAAACTTATGGGGGGGGGGGGGCGGGCGAAGTACAAAAAAATATATTCGCGCAAGGGAAAATAAAATGAAAAAAAATTCATGCACGCCAATTAACCCTAAAAAATATTCATACTACTGCCTAAAAAAAAAATTCATTCAAGGAATTTGATAACGAAAAAAAATTCCTGAGGCTCAAAAATTCCCCACTCCCCCCATAACTTTTCTAATGGTCCGTACCTAATCTGTTTTCAGTCTTAATCAAATTTCTAGCCATAGAATGCCAAAGGTATACACTTTTTTCCTTGATTCAACTTTTTCAGAGTTTTAAAAATAACCCAAGAAACCGGTGACACAGCTTCTTTAAGAACTACTGAAACGAACATTGGGCTCAAAAAATTGAAACCATTTTTTGGCAGTGGTATTCATCAACCTGCCAAATAGAAACAGGACGACCAGACTTCACTGTGTGCATTGTCTACTTTTTCTCTCTCTTCAGTTTGATTTACATTTTTGCTGCCGACCGCTCTTACGGACTAGATGGGGAAAACAATTTTTTTTGTACGGAATTTCATTAAATTTTCATTGTAGTTTCTCAAATATTTGATTTATTTAAGGTTCGAAAGAACAGAGATGATCAAGCTTCTGCTTGAAAGGGGAGCGGACCCACTAATAGCGAACGAAGTTGAAATGTCAGCACTGGATTCAGCCGTACGTACCCGCGACGTGGAGATATGCATCCTTCTTCTTGAAGAGCAAAGGGTGAAAAATTACCTAAGCCAAGGAAATTTAAGGCCCTTATTTATAGCCTGTCATGACGGAAAACGAGAAGTTTGTGAGTTGTTTTTAAGGTATGGAGCCGATCTCACCCGCCCAGGATTTCGGGGAAGCACTCCTCTGCACACTGCAGCTTTTCAGGGACATGAAGACGTGTGTGAACTATTCATTGAAACAGGTAACATAACCTATACGAAAATAAAAGTTGATATTGCGATTAAAAAGATACCGTAAAATTCCGAAAATCCCCCCCCATGTCTAAGCCTCTCCAAATATAAACCCCTCAAACTCGTAACACAAAACACCTTCCGCGAACGTGAAATCGCCCCTCGGAATATAAGCCTCCCGGGGGCTTGTACTTGGACATTGTCCTCAAATACAAAGTAAAACAAAGCAAAAACGGTACATTTACTTCCAGCTATAAGGCCGGCCCAATCGATTTTGAAACGCAAATTCCCCTCCGTACATAAGCCCCTCCGAATATCAGCCCCTCCAAAAATAAGCCCCTCAAAAAGAGCCTTTGAAAAATATAAGCCGTGGGGCTTATTTTCGGAATTTTTCTATTAAAAATAACCGAGGGATAGTGAAAATGTTTTGTCAGTTAAAAGCTATAATGATTATAATTTATGATTGGTTGCCCTGGAAGGAATAGCAAAGAATATCCGAGAAAATACTTTGGAGCAAAAGAAGAAATACATCCGAATAAGATTTTAACCCTGAGTTAGTGCTAATCGGCCTTCGAACAACTGAGCTCAAGCGGGCTCCATCATTGGGAAACTGTTAATTTAATTGTCATTTTTCCATTTTCACGCTTAAATTTACAGCACTTTTCTTACTTCCTTTTTCTGTACATTGATCATTTTCACTGAGACCATAATGCACCATGTTTACTCCCCAAAATTTTACATAACCACCGTTGCAGGGTATGACGTCGTCTCAAGAGAAATCGCGGACAAAATTGGTGGTGGTGTTGGGGGCGGGGGGCTTTGTTGGGGAGGGGAAGTAAGCCAAGCGTATTTTGGTCTCTGTGAAAATGGTTCGTGCATATATTCACTTATCACGTTTCAATTTCAATTTCTTAGCTTGTGATAATTGATGACGTGAAGCCAAGCGCTTTAATTTTTTTTAAATAGCATCCCGAACCCTGCAACACCTTGGTGGATTTGTGAATTCAAAAATCACAGAAGGCAACACTCCTCTTCACTACGCCTGCATCGGAGGCCACGTGGGCGTGGGAGAACTTTTACTACGACACGGCGCGGATCGTGACGCTGTTAATTTTACAGCATCTGCTTCACCGCTCCATTTGGCGGCAAAACACGGCCACTTGTCAATGGTAGAGCTACTTATGCTGTATAATGCAGTTACTGACAACAGAGATGGCAAACTAAGGACACCGCTACATAGGTATAGTGGGTTGGGATTTATTTTCAGTGGTATTGCGGAAATGAAAAGTTTGGATTATTCTCAAAAGTAGTTAAGAAAAGTGTCTTTTGATAGGAGTAATGCTTATGTAAACGTATGGAAGAATGTCCAACCATTGCATTACTGGTCATTATTATTATTATTATTATTATTATTATTAATATTTTATCATTAAATTGATTCAATATGTAGATTAGACATTGATAAAAGCGAAGCTGCCGTAAAGACACTCATAATAAATTTCAAACAATTAACTTAAAGACATTGCAAAGAAATCCATAAAACTTATACTTAACTTTTGAGGTGTTCCATTTCCCTTTTGTTAGAAAAGCTGGGTGAGTTTAAGAAAAAAAAAATATCCGCAAACAGACCTGGAACGTACAAAAATCTTGCATCGAGTTAATATTTTCACCCTGGACTCCCATCGCCTCCTACCCACAGGCGCTCACACTAACTAGATTGGCCTTCCTGTGATGCGGACGGATGGGCGGACGAGCTTACTACCAAAATTTCCTCGGGTGAATATATAAGCTTATATAGAAAACCATATTTCTTGAGCTTGATTTGAATGTATTTCAGAGCACTCAACTCTTAGAGGAGCGTTGACAATTGTTATAAACTGTTCCATACTTATGGGGTTACGCAGCTAACGGGCATCATTTTCGCAATGATCATAGTTGATGCAAATTTACTCGAATAGGAATTTTTTATTCGGTGGATAACACACACGCGTCATAGCCGGCCTTTAACCCTTTTTTTTCATTTCTAGCGCAGCAGAGTTTAATCACAGTCAAATAGTAAAGTTTTTGATCGAGTGCGGAGCTGATTTAGAAGCGAAGGACATTCTGGAGATGACACCTTTTCTAATGGCTGTGACCCGTGGAGGTGTGGAATCTGCTAAGATGTTGGTAGACCATGCAGCGGATATTTTTGCGACCGACAATTCATTAAATAGTGCTGTTCATTTGGCTATTACGTACAAAAAACCTGAAATGTTGAAATTATTGATAGAAGTGGACAAAGATCGAGTTTTAGTGCAAATGAAGGACAAAGATAAGAGGAATGTGCTTCACCTTGCCTGTGGACAGGACGATTCTGAGGTATTCTTCTGTTATTATTTCGTTAACTTTGTCGTCAATTTATTTTATTTATGGGACGAGAGAATAGGTGAAACCGTTTTCTTTAGGTTATCATTTTACCTTTCAGAAATTAAGGTTAAGGTTTCCACAAGTGAAGAAAAATGTTGAAAATTACTTATACCACAGAATAAATTACCACGTACACATTAATCTCCATAATATACAGTAGCTTACAGTCATTGCCCTGGTCCAGAACATGAGGTAGGGAACCGTAACTATTGTCTAAGCATTTTTCCTCCCTTGTTTTTGCTATCGGTAACGCGGCACTTAAATTAAATTAGCTTCCCTCTCTGTTAAGCCCCCTCCCCCTCTAAAACGTGCTTGAAATAAATAAGTCACAAGGGTAGAGGATTACCGTGTTTATTTTGCATTGAGCACGAACCTCATCAAAAATAATAAAACAAAAACAGAGCGTTTTTATGGCGAGATCTCTCATTTCTCCTTTCAAAATTGCACACTTCTCGGTCTCGAATTTTCTTTTTAAGATGTTGACAATTCTTCTGGAAAATAAAGTGTGTGTAAGAGGGCGTGACATGCAGGAGAAGATACCCATTCACATCGCAGCTGAGAATGGTTCACTAGATTGCGTGGTGACGCTCGCCAAATACCCATTATTTGCAAGTTATGTAGATCAAAGGGAAGCTCGTGGAATGACAGCTCTTCATTTCGCCGCCAACAATAAACACGCGTAAGTTATGAAGAAACAAATACCCAAAATCTATGAAATAATTTCCATTTTTTCTACATATGCTCTCTGGGGTGTAGGGAAGACACGGGGCGCAGAGAAGGGGGGACTTAGGGGTTAGCATGTGTAACCTAACTTGGTGTGTTTTGTAACTAGTCGGCAAATTCATACATCCTGCAGGAGACTGCGTGTATACTGTTTAAAAACACTGCTTTTTTTATTTATTTATTTGAATTTGTAACGAGTGAAAGAAAATAATCTTTTGTTACATGCGCTTCTGGTTGACCCAATAATATCGATAGGTGAACCTCTTGAGCTTGTTATGGTCTTAACCCCGGAGGTTTTGCCGGACTTTTCTAAAACGCCTTAGGGATAAGGTAACTGGTCTCATCACCCCACCCCCGCCCCCTCCTCCTCTCCTTCGGATCTCACCCACAAACTGTCATTTTCTCTTATAGTTTCCCTTTGGGCAAGAGATTTCACCAAAACTGATTTCTTAGCTAGCAATCCCCCATCCCTGCTTATAACAGAAGTAACGGTAGAAGTGTACCTTAAGCCTTGGCTCATGAACATATTTTTTTTATGGTGTTTTTCCTGTTAAAAATTTTGGTTCCAGAAAGACGTGTGAATTCCTGATTTCAAAGGGTTCGGATGTCTCAGCTAAATGCATGAACAATGTGACGCCCCTTCACTTGGCTGTGACGGTGGGATCCTTAGAGACAGTCATTGTTTTAATGAATTCCTTTTTGCCGAGTACACTGGAAGAGAAGGACAGTGATGGAAACACTCCTCTTCATCTCGCATGCAGATACAACCGCCTTGATGTGCTGCAGTTTCTTTTAGACAGAGGTGCCGACGTCACAGCCAGAAATGAGAGAAATATGACCTGTATAGATGTAGCGATCGAGTGGGAAGCCGAGGATGTGGCAAAGACGCTTGTGAAACATCAAAGGTACATTTTAAGAGAAATCTCTCATATCCAACCCCAGGGGGAGGGGAGGGGGTATTCCGGATTTTAAGTGACGGGGATGATCAAACGGGGCAAAAATCAAGGGCCTAGGGCTTGCAACAAAACCCCAAAATATCCGTGGACCAAAAATTAACCCCCCAAAAAATCCCATGCCGAGATTCTGAGCCTTAAAAACCACAGCCACAAAATAAGTTTGGTTTTACTTTTTACTCGCAGAACTACGAGGCCGGGATACGCTGGCACTACCAAGAATCTTCAGATTGTTTTGAATACCCCCCCCCCCAAAAAAAAAAAAAAAATAAAAATATCCCTACTTAAATCAAGCCACACAAAAAAATACTTGCCAAATTTTCCTACCCAAAAAATTCCAAAATCGAAAGTTTCAAACCCCAAAAATCCTTCCATCATCCTCGACACTTGAAACCCGGAGTACCCCCCTGTGTATCCAACGGGATGTCCGAATTAAGCGGGTTGAATTTAGAGAAAATGTAAGGGCTTTTTTTCTTCAGGGACAAGGAAAACTTGTCCGTAATAACGAGGTGTCCGTATGAAGCGGGTGGGTTTGACTGTATTCGATAATTCGCAATAACAGGATACTTTCCTATAATATTTCAGCTTATCATTTATGTTTATCAGCCATAATTAAGAAGACTTAGGGGCTACTTTCGGCCACCAAGCTGTTACTACCATTTGTAAACTTTGGCTATTCATTGAAACTGAAACGAAAAGAATCAACTGCTTTCTTGTTGTAAATTTTAGAATCATATCAATAACAATGTGTCTTGACCACCCGCCTCCACCCCGGTCCGTTTTTCAAAGCTAAATCCAAAAAGAAAGAGCCAAGATGACATCTCTCTGATTCATGGCTTGCTTCGCATGTTATCCAGGAAAAGAAATAGTTTGCCATATTTGGAAAAAATATTAAAGCTCTAAGTTTCATTGTCACAGAGCATCATTAATTTCTGAGAGATGAGGACGTAGGATGAGATCGCGCCGCCAGTTAATAAGTAAATTATAGCCTGGGTGATCACGGTTTTACTAATTCCATACAGGACAAAGTTGCTTGAAGGATTATTCTTCTTATACATGTATTCCTGCAATTTTCTTTCATTCGTCAGGTCTTTACCCATCTTCGGCCTATCTGATCTGATCGAAAAAAAGATTTGGTACCAGATAGTATGCTTGTTTTCAAGCTGACAGCCCATGCCCCGTACAATGCCTTGATGCCTACTCTCCTTTCCCGAAAATGTTTAAAAATCATTTCCAAGTTAAATGAAGGAAATAATTTAGAGTTAAAGTTCTCAAACTAATTAATAATCCATAAAGAAAATACAAAATAGATTAATGTTTAATGAGTGTTTGGACATCAGATGAAAAACTTGTCATTTTTGCATCCTTGATTTCTCCTTCTAAACTCATTTTGTTTGAGAAGTAATATCAAGCATTCGACACAGTGTTTCATCACCAGATCAATCACCTCGAAGTTCGTCAAAAATACTCCGCTGCGCGTCTTATTTTCAACTCTTCTCTCAACAGATGAAACACCGAGTCTTCATGCTTGATATATTACTTATAGCATTGACCACACTTTCATGAGAAGTTTCACTAGTAGTAAAACTAATGTGAAATTTTCTCATTCTAGGTGGGAGGAGGTACTCGAAGGTTCTGCATTTAAGAAGTTAATAGAAAAGCTCCCAGATGTTGCAGAAATTGTTCTTGATCAATGTGTCACCTACAGTCCTTTGCCCCCATCGCACGAGGACTTTACTGTCAAGTTCAACATGAGATATATTGATCCGTACACGTATTGTTATAAATATACTGACTTCCCGCCTGCAATCATGGCCAAACATAAGCGAGAAAGACTGTTGAATCATCTTGTTACACAAGTGTTACTTCGTGTGAAGTGGATGAAGCTTGGAAAGTTTCTTACTATTTTTAATCTTGTTTTTTTCGCTGTCTTTGTCATTCTCTACTCTATTTTCATTTTAAACGCAAGATCTAGAAGTACATTGCTGTCCGGGAAAAAGGCCGAACAACTAAATCAAACATCCGAGCTAGGAATAGCAACTCCTATCGTACTTCTTGTTTTGTTGCTTTACCAATTTATAAAGGAAACGATTCAACTTACTTTGATGCGATTGGCCTACTTCCTGGACCTCTCAAACTGGATGGAGACGGTAATGTTTGTATTGGCGTTGATTTTTATCCTTCCATTCATATTTGGTGAGAATGTCAAGGCTGTATACAGTGAAACAGTACAGTGGAATTCAGGGATTGTTGCTCTGCTGCTATGCTACGTCAATTTGACATTAGCTATCCGTCGATTCGGCGAACTTGGTTTATACGTGACAATGTACATTGAAGTGCTCTGGACTTTTATTAAAGTAATAACCTCCTTTCTCATCACTTTGATTGGTTACTGCTTGGTGTTTTACGTGTTACTGAAAGGCCAGGTAAGAACTGTACTGGAAAGATCGAAAGTAAGCATTATTGACTCCTTCTTTAGAGATAGTAACAGGAAGCTTGAGCAAAGGCGTTTTTGAACAACGCACGTCAACGGGAAGTCGATTTATTGCATTCTTTTGCCAGTGGTTTTGCCCAAAATTTCATGTGGGGGAAACATCGTTTCCATGAAAATAAACATAATTAGCAGTTCATATTTGTTAGCCCAAAGATATTTTAAAAGAGAAAACGCCTCACTTCCGATTGACTATCGCCTTTGCTTAATCTCCCTAATACCGTTACTACATGAGGTGCCAAATGACTATCTGTCTCTCTTCCAACACTCGTGGAAGATAAGTGACATTTTTTGCATAGCGCACTTATGCTTGCTTCCTGGTGCTGGGGCTATTCCACATGATCTTTTTAACCCTCTTAATTTTTTCCACTTTGTTATAAGCCAACTTGACTAAGCTGGCATGCGCCATTCGTTTACTTTAGGCAATGCGTACTGAGAGTCCTAATGGGTGCTAGTCTCACTATCATTAAGAGCACGTGCAGATGTATTTAGGTCCACTTCATTCTAATGCATTGGTTCCGACGAAGAAAATAATTGTCGATTCAGTCTGGACAATTTAAACGTCGCCCTGCTGGAGACAAGATCGAGAGTAGGCCATTCTCAAGGTGACGACATTTGACTACAACTACCAGAAGCCATTTCTTTTTTTTTCTTTCTTACATATTGGTCAATCCCGCTGAGGTTAAAAAAAAAACCGAAAGCCTTTATTTGCACAAGGGAACAACAAACTGAAGCATTCTGGTAGTTGTAACACAATATTGAGTCATCGTTCAATTGTCCTATTCAGCGGGTCACCCGATCGGCGTGAAGGGCCTTCTTCCGCGCTGTTTCAAGACCCAGAGCGATCGGGATCGGAGACGAGACCTCCCACTCTGCAGGCAAGATTTCTACCACTTGTATTAGAATTGACTGCGGGGGCGTCGCTACCCGTACGGCTGTTCGCACGGACGGAGCTGAACAAATGTCAACTGAAAAAACTGGGTAGGGTTGACCTGTAAAATGTGGAACATTTCTAGCTTCACCTTTAAACCCTACTTGGCATTGGACACTTTATCTTAAAACAGACGAGGTGATATCTGACAAAGTACCTTATTAACGACGAATTATCTCTTTTGTCACCTTGCAGGGTAATTTCTCGACCTTTTTGTTTGCCATGGGAAAAATCCTTGTCATGATGATTGGTGAACTAGACTATACTGATATTTTGGTGGTCGACTGGTCCAATGAAGCCACGGTACCATTGCCTATGATCACCATTGGACTGTTCTTTCTTTTTGTCTTGACAGTCTGTGTTGTACTGGTCAACCTGCTGGTAGGTATAGCGAAACGACTTTGGTCAAGAAGGGCATCACTAATCGAGACTCTCAGTGTACCAATTATATTCTTAAGTGACATTCTGGATACGGTTCTGGTGACAACAAGTAAGGGGTAGTGTTGTTATGACGGGTGACCCGACGAGTGTTCAGACAATGGAAAAAATAGAAACGCTGGTACATTTGGAATTCCTCATGAAAAATTTGTTTGTTCGTTTTTTTTTTTGTTTTTTTTTAAAGTACAATCCTTCTTGTGACGAGTTTTAGTCACGTCACCATCACCCCATCTTTCTATTAAATCTTGACCCGATTTTGGCAGTTTTTCTGACAAGTGGCGAATATCCAAATCGCGGATTTCAAATTGCCCTTTTTTGAATTTATGAAGCAGTTTCCAGCCATGTGAGGTCACAACATATGATATAATTGAGCTGAGACAACGTTGATATGCGTCGAAATCTTCAAGTTTCAACGCTTCCATTTCTGTATGATATCAGGGCAAACATCTTAACGACACTCACAAAAAAATGGTTAAACGTCAAAACTGGACAACATGTGCTTTACTTGGAATAACGAAACCAAGAGCCTTTTTGGTTTGAAAGCAGATGGAGTGTTACAGTATTTTTAAAGTACTATTCATGCAAAGAGTTCTGAAACTAGGGTACTTTAATTTGTAGTCTTTGTTAGAAAACGTCCAAGAATTGAGTCCTGCGGTACTCCGTGCATGATTTGAAGTGGGCTTGATAGCTTGTCTCTAATGTGCGTTCATTTTGTATCGTATTACTATCATCATCGCCATGAAAATTATTGAATTTTGTTTCATGTTTTGTAGGTTGGTTTGGCAGTTGGAGACATTGATTCAATAAAAAGGACAGCATCTTTGCGATCTTTAATAGATCAAACGTTAATTGTGGAGAAGCTTGTAAAGTACTACCCGAGGTTTGTTCTTCGTTATGCACATGACAGAGACATGGAAATAAAGCCAAACCGTAATACTATGGTTAAAAGGTGAGAATACAGCAAATTTGTCTACTGTGTAATGGTATCTACATAGACAGCTGTTTTTTGGGCTTTCAGTACTATCCAACTTTACAAAACTTGAAATGTTCATCAATCCTTGTTTTATCCTCGAAATCAATTCAACCACCATCCATTGTATAAGGAGGAAAGGTTGTTGGACCTTTTCATGTAAATATAGCCGGACAGACACACTTCAGTGAAAGGGTAAATATGCAAATACGTTTGTCTAATACTTCTGATTATAAGCTGTTGAAACTTTTGGTGTTGCCAAAGGATGCATTTTTGTTTTGACCTAAAGCAAATTTAGACTGTTCATAATCCCCAATTTTTCCGTGAGATCGTCGAGATCAAGCGCTCACAGTCACTGGTAGCCATTTTGTAATTGGTTTCCAATGTACCGAGGGGAGGGCGTCGGGTTTTATAGCGGTAGGGGAAGCGAGGGGAGAAAAGTAAATTTTTTTTCTCCTCCCAAATCATCCCCTCCTCCCCAATTAGTTGAAATAGTCATATGCTGGACTCCAAAATGGCCGCCTTTAGCACTAATCGCTCTGGACGATCTTACATGAAAATAGGGCGGTGCTAACAGTCTAAAGCAATTTAACATGTGATATTTGATAATTACAGAAATCGATTGTCACCAGCGAAGGTCCCGTGATTGTCCGTCTAATACAGGTTTCACTGCATTCTAAAAAACAGCAACAATAACAACAACAACACATACCCGGTAGTTTAGAAACGACTTCTCTGTTCCCCTGTTAACAGTTTTACTGTGCATCACTAATACATTACATTAGTTATTGATGTAGACCTTTACAATAATGCTTCTTTTAATCCCAAAGGATTGTTCTGGCTGGCAATGATATTTCAGATAGAGATTTTATGGAAAAGCTTCTCAATTACAGAACTGGAGAAAGCAGTCCAGGAGAAGAACTTCTCGGAACTTGCGAGAAATTGAGACAAGAAACGCAAGAGGAAGCCATCCTTAAACTACAAGCCACTGTAGAAGCACAAGGCGAAATTCTCAAGGCGATTGCCGATAGATTAAAAATTACTGACTAGGATTAAAATTCAAATTAATCAACAAGCTTGATCTTTTCACACAACAATACGCGGGTTTTACATAAAAATATCTGGACTTTCTATTTCATCGTCAGCGAGTTCGCACTCTTACAAGAGAGAAATGTCAAGAGTGAAAACTTGAGATAGAAATCCACCAATCGTTTAAAGTCCTGCACAGCACATCGACAGCATAACCTGAAAAAAATGAACCAGCGGAGCATTCAACACGTTGCGATCAATAACAAAATGAACATCGCGCGGAGAGAAAAGATAAATTAGGTCCATCATACGCAAACCATGGTCAATATCACCCCTTGTTATACCTGAGGTAGATTTGTGAATTTATTTGCAATGGTTTACAATTGCTTCAGGTAAACGTGTAAGTGGAGCTCCGCTTTGGGCTTGGCTTAATATATTTATTAATTGATAAAGTGTGGTGATTTGAGAACAACAGCGTATTGATATATCACAAATAAATTTACTAAAATGGCTCGATCGAGTCTCGAGAGTTGTACGTCCATACAAGAAAAAAGCCTAGTTGTATACGCCGCTCGGCGTACTGCATTACTAAAAACCCAGTTGTAAATGGGGTACTGAAATAAAACAAAGGTAGCGAGAATCGTTGTTGCGTAACAATGCGTTTGTAAAATTCGGTGCCCTATCCCTGTCTTTCAATTATTGCTTCTTGTTGGCATTTTTGGCCGTTTTAGAGCGATTCCTGCGAATTTTTAGGCGTGCCGTTGTCCTTTCTCTATATCGAGAGAAACAGTACGACTTAAACTCGAAGGACAAAAAAAATCCTTTGCATGCTATAAAGGAGGGTTGCCCCAGTGTTTTAAAAGGCTTGAAATAATGATGTCACCTGACATCTATAAATAAAGGTCTTGAAAGGCAAATAAAAGAACGAACAGGTAATAAAAATCAATGCAAATAGCTAACTCCCTATTAGAACTAAAGCTGTGGCGAGCGAAGGGGAGAAGGTATTTCGAATTAAATCACCTACTTACGTAATGACCTTGTATGTCGCTCGAGGTCGCCTTATTGCGTACATTCAGCTGATTCATTCTTACGTAAAGGGTGATTTTTGTTAAGGTTTGAATTAGCACGTAATTAAAACTTTTATTCCAAAAAGAATGATCATGGTACCGTAATAAAGGAAAAACAAAACCAAAAAATCCTCCAGCAACTGTCAACTGTTTGGAGTTTGCACCGAGGGAACCTTTTTATTTTTTGTAGGGGAAATTGTCTCCAATATTGATGTTGATAAGTGACACTTTCAGTTAGTAAAGCTGATCAATGTCATGGTGAACGTGTGCTTTATTATAACCATGATTAGTTAAATAGCTGAAAACAATGTAACTCCTCCGCACGAACCATAACCAAAACGTAAGACATCACGTGCCACAGTACCTACTAAATTCTAGATAACTGCTTTCTCGTTAGTCGATTATTTTACCCTGTTTAACATTTAATTAGACACGTCATAAGCTATCATTTATTTTCATCGGTTGGATTTAAATAATAAGGATTGCACTGTTTGACGCAAATTCGGTGCGTTCATGACTGAGACCTTATGAGTGATGAACTGGTGTTAGCTTTGCCATAAAAAGCTTGATGTCGTCCACATATCACTCGATTGCTGACAACAAAGGGAAAGGTAGGTCTGTTATCTTAACTTTCGTTCTGTGGTTCTTGTATATCTAAAGTGGACAGGTGAGAAACAATCGACTGACTGACGGAAAATTAATCTGCAGTAACACAATTTCCTTCTGTACTTTCTAACGCTGTCGTCTAGAGATATAAAAATACGAAATGCTGACAATTTTGAGCAAGCAACCTGTTTGGAAAGACCAAGAGTTTAGGTGGTGTAATAATTAATTTAAATAATGCAAGTAATTTTTCGGCATTTGCATTTATATTAATTTCTATCCCAGTCAAGAAAACTGGTTGCTTTTCAAAGTTCAGTCAAAATCAAAAGAAAGACCTGGCAATAAGAATTGAAGTGAGTTTTACTTCGCTAAAAGTGCAAGGTGTAACACAGGTAAGAAATCGTTGATCCGTTTACTGAAAGAAGCGATTGATTTATAACATTATATTGCGTTAAGGATCATGTTCCTAATACGATATGTCATTCAATAGCAGCTGGTAAGCCAAATGACGTAATCAGTTGATCATCTCCTCGATTTTACACCCTGAATATCCTCGCAGCTTAAAAGCTGGAATGTAAAAGTCAAAATAGCCACAGCCCAGGGAATAAAAGACGAAATAACGATATTTTGCAGATCTCAGTTGGGCAGTGAATGGCGTTTTTTATTTTTTATAGTGGCGTTTGTTAAATAGGAAACTATGTACATCTAAATGAAACAATGAAATTCACTGAGTAAGCTATATCTTCTACTTCGGGTACGATATTGGCCCTTTCATTTTATGGCGCCGATAGCTTTTATTTCCAGCCGGGGTATTTAGGCTCTCGACCAATGCTAACAACATCTAAGAGGCGGCCTAGTTTGCAAAATAACATTGAAATGAAAACATTAAATTTTTTCAGCAAATTATACACGATCCTAACTATGTTATTTCGTGACTCTAAAACGGTGCAATCTACTGCCTGCAAATTGGAAAACAAAATTTCTCGGGGTGCTTCCCTAGTCTGTGTACCAGGCGATTTTCCTATGCGTCCTTCGTTTGCGTTTTGTGAGTAGTATTAAAGTATACTGTCGCGCGAAAGGTTACCTGAGCTCAGATGTAAAAAAAGAGAGAAGGGGGCGAAGGAAAAACGACAGACCCTCCCCCATCGTTTTCTCGGTTGATCTCCGTTGAGCTATTCCTGCAGTTGATCTCTTTCTTAACTGATCTCTTTCTTAACGATGGGCACGAAAGAAAACCAACCAAAGAGTGTGTTGCCCTGACAACCCCGCAATAATACTGATGATGTAGCAAGTACTAAGTACCAGTTAGGAGAGTGTAAAAACTGGGGATAAGGGTCAGGATTGGACTGCTAAAGAAAACCACGCGATTAGGAACAGCCAGGATTCTGAGAAGGGAGCTTGACTTCTAAGTATCAGGACTCCAGGAGAATGTTCCCAAGGGACCCCTGGTTATTGGTTATGACTCGCTTCCTTGTGATGCATGTCGGCATGAGAACAGCCAACCCAAATAGACAATAATAATGATGATATTTAAGATATGGCACCAAAGAAGAGTGTTGAAGAGCTCATCAAAATTATAACCTAATGATCGTCTTGTTCCTTTATTCGTTAGGTAGTCCCCAACTTTCTTCGATGCGTCCGCAAGGCAGTAATATGTCCCTTTCTAAGGTGGGACCTTTGCTTTACAGTGAATCGATCGAACTCCTTTCGAACCCAGGAAGCACTAATGTAAGAAGGAAATTGATTCACCCAATGCAAACGAACCGGGATTTTCAAAATGGCTTGCCCCTGGACTTTAAAAATGATGCCCTAGAAGAAATGGATAATTTAAATAAAATTGATCGCGACGGTCTCTCTGCTATTCATCGAGCTGTTCGTGGTAATAAGATTCAGACTGTCAGAATTTTGTTAGATTATGGTGCGGATATCAACTTGAAAGACAAAGATGGATTCACGGCACTTCATGCTGGCGTGAGGTATGTGCGTAAAAAATGTACAAGTAAAGGGCTTAGGAAAACATCTAATGGTTCTTCACACCAGCTGGTTCAAGAATGCTAATGTATGCCAGAATATTTTTTTCAGTTGTATGAATGAAGGATTGATTGGTGATTGAAAATGGCTCTCTGTAATTTATTTAGTTGTGTTGTTGTTTTTATATCTGTTCAGGATAGAATTACCCGCCATTCTTTGATAACTCCTACAAAAAACACTGTATGTGAACAAGTATTGTTTTTTGGCTTACTTACTGATCAAAAGTTAGTTCCAAGTCATCGAAAACTCTACACGATGAAACAATTTATCCAATCAAAGGAGATGTGTCACGAAATTTATAAAACTTCGATCAAACAGCGGAAATTGCCAACAAATTGGGTGAAACGTAAAACTAACCTTCAAAACGTTAAAAGAAAATACAAGTCACCCAGCAAATACAGACGGAGGTGCGGATGGGCAAACATGAAGAAGATTGAAACGGATTGCAATTGTGGTTTTTGAAAACTTGTTAGCCTAACTTGTTAGCCTATGCAGATTCTCAGACGCACGGTTTGGTTGATTTTAGGTTTGAGAGAACAGAGATTGTTCAACTTTTGCTTGAAAGAGGCGCCGACCCAACAATATCAAACAATAACGAAATGACAGCGCTGGATTCAGCTGCACGTACAGGGCTCGTGGAGTTATGCACTCTTCTGCTCAAAGATTCGAGGGTAAAATATCACTTAAACCATAAAAGCATAACTCCGTTCTTTATGGCCTGTATTAATGGCAGTCGAGAAGTATGCGAGTTGTTTATTAGACATGGGTTTGACGTCACTGCCCACTGGATGCAAAGAACCACTCCTCTCCACATTGCAGCATTTCAAGGGCATAAAGAGGTGTGTGAGCTACTGATTGAAACAGGTAATATCTTGCTGGACATGTATCATGACTACATAGAGACGGAAATATATAATGATGATATTATTTCTAGAGATGCTCTAAGCTTTTTAGACTGTCTTTGGGTGTTTGCCTTACCCTTATTCAGACAGAGCTTTAATTAGCTTCCTGAGAGGGCGAGGGAGAGAAAGGCCTTGACTTCATGTTTTTTTTTCTCAAATCAGTCACCGAAAAACTTGGATTACACCAGCAGTAATAAAAATAATAAATTTGTTGAAATATTGCCAAATTAAAAGAGATATATGAAGAAAATAAAGAAATAAAAATAAATCCTTTTTAAAACGAAAATAGTATTTTTTTTAACATGGCTCTCAAAACTCGTTTGCCACGGTAACGTCAAAGTTAATGTACACGTGTTCCAACTTTAATTAGTATATACACACTCAGTGATCTTGGTGATTTAAGCAATCTGATTGGTTCGCTATCTCGGACTATTCAACAATATTCACCTCCTGGCGAGTGGATAATGTGTGAGCTCAGTGTTTTTCCCATTTTTTTAGAGAACAATCTTTTAAAAGTCGACAAAATCCTAGCGCTGACTTTTTTTAAGGCAAGAAAAGATTTGGAAGGATTCAATACGGCGTTTTTCGATTTACTGTAGCTGAGTTTTGTGCTCGATGGATTGTTTACAACTCCCCTGTATTCGCGTAGAAGAAGCCGTTTCGTGAACTCAGCGTTTTCTAACAAGAAAATTTTGGCTCAAAAATCGGAGTTTATTTATGACAAACAAATTTAAAAGGAAATGTCTGCAGAAATTCTACGTTTCAAGTAAACAGGAAAAAGAATGATACAGGAAGACGACGTCTTACCTCGAGCAACCGAGCCGGCCAATTTTGTCAGCACTTCATGCGAAGAACGACACAACAAGCCCTTTTGGCTATAAACTTGGCGAGTCAACTGAAAACAACAAAGCTCCACTTTTCTTCTCAAGTAAGGAAACAGTTCAAACTTTTAGCGGTTCCATTTAAGCCATTAAGCTGTTGTTAACGAAATGATAAACTTGTGAATTGCCATGTTTGAAAATTCTGCAAAAGTCTATTTTAAACTTACGCGTGATTTGATCTGTCAATCAGATTGTACTTTTTAATGGTTTCTTCTCTGATTTTGTTGAGATCACTTCGTGTGTATATACTAAAACAATTATTCTTTTCAATCTCGGTGAATAGAGGCTTTGGGAATATTTACCTCGCCGCTTTCGCGACTCGGCAAATATTTAGCCACTATTCACCTCGATTTCAAAGAATAATTGTTAAATATTCCCAGATAATTTTTAGGAAATGTTGCCAAGTTTGGTAATTTATTCGACTTTTTAGCGACGGGAGGGGGGATCAAAAACCCCATCCCGGTCTGAGGAGGGATGAGACGCCAGTTTTACAAAAATTCATACGTTTTTTGTGATTTCGTGGAATTCCTAAATAAGGGGTATATTTTTTGCGTTAACTAGAGTTATTCCATTTCCCTTTAAAATTCAAAAGGGCTGCAATTGATCAGTGCACTTTATAATACCTGAATTTAATGTCCATTGAGAACTTTTTAAGTTGTCTGAAGTACAGGCAAAATTGAGCAAATATTGAAGTTTCCTAGTTGATAATGTAAATTGATTAGATTGTACGTCTGTAGGTGAGGGTTATTAATTATAACTAATCTATTTGTTATAATCAGCTTCTAAAGAGTTACATACGCTAGAGGATTTTATAAATTTCAAAGACTCAGAAGGCAATACCCCTCTTCACTTCGCCTGCATCGGAGGACATGGAGGTGTGGGGGAGCTTTTATTACGCCGTGGCGCGAATCATGAGGCCGTTAACTTCTTGGAATCTGCTTCTCCGCTCCATTTAGCGGTGAAACAGGGCCACTTTTCCATGGTACAGCTTCTTTTTATGTGGGGAGCAGCTGCTGACGTCAGGGATGGTAAACAAAGGACACCGCTTCATAGGTATAGTTACGTAAAATATCTGTTTCTGCTCTATGGAAAAACTTCTATTCGTGTAAACATTTGTTCTATGTTTCCGTTGCCAATTGTTTTCTGGGTTTATAGGCGGGAAATAAGTTGCAATTTGTAGAGCTTTCTAGATAAAAACGGCAAAACAGGAAACAATATTCCATGAAAACTGTTTTACTCTATATTATACACCAAGAATGAGCGGAAAGAAAATGGACGAGAAATAAGTCTCTAGATGTTTTAAAGACTTGTCTAAAGCCTTTTGTGTCATTCATTTTGCCCTCCTCTCCGGTGGAGAGTGTCTGACGCTGCATACGTTTGGCTTGCAGACTACCTTTCTTTGCTTAAACAAGTGCCAGTGGTCAATTTAGGTAGTGTTCTGTCAGACCACCTTTTCTTGACAGCTCACATGCCCCAGGGCTTTATTTTCTGTTTCGGTGTTATTTACGATTTACGAAAACGAGTTACTTTTAATTCCTAACCATTGCAACTCGATGGGGTATACATTACAGTACAGTTAAAGTCCTCCAGATGGTCAACCTGTTACAGTGGAGTTGCACTTGCGACTACACGGTCGACCAGTGCAGCGAAACCACTCTTATCTTGCTTAGACCTCGTTGCCAGCTTAATGGGGACATTTAATAATTTGGCGATATTTATCCAAGGGTCCCGTTTGTATGGCGGCCTAGACTTCGCAAACAGCATCTTGTTTGTTAGCGTAGTGTTTGGACAACGTCAAACATCAAACATGACCAACATTTTGAATATTGGCTCCAGATCACATTTTTGAGACTGTTTATTTGTTATGTGTAGAATGTCTGTCTTGGTGCATCGGAGTCTGAATTCTGTATCCTCTGCGTCTTCAGGGGTTGGGAGTCTACTCCACCCACCAATAACCATTTGCCTCAATAACTTCATCCAACAGGTCTCCAACAGGCTTGCGTTCCATATGAAAGACGGGATCGCACACATTAGCTTAGCTCTTATTGTCATGTTCACTTTCTGGTCCGTCAGCACTTGTCTCATTTCATTGAATTTCGCAGTTGCTTTTGATACACCAGTGGCGAATTAAGACCTTTAGTTAAGGGCAGGACCGGTCTCTAAAAACGTTTTTTTGGTCCTTCCGACGCCTCAGTTTGGTCTAAAAGTAAGAGGGGGCCCGGGCCCCCCGGGCCCCTCCCCTGGATCCGCCACGGAAAAATGCCTTGAGTTTTATTGCGGAAAGTTTGGCCAAGGTATATGGACTCTGATACATTCTCCACCATATTATCCCCGCTTGAAAACAATGAAGGTAAGTTGGCAAGTTCATCATTGTTGAATACTTGGGTCTTTCTCTTTGGAAAGGAATTGGTGAGTCCAAAGCGGGAACATGTACCGTTTAGAATGTTCATGATGGTTTTCACTTCAGCTATACTTTTACAGAACAGTGCGAGATCATCAGCATAAAGCAACCATCTGACCATCTGTGCACCATTCAGTCTGCCACTTTTCGGCTGTTATCTATTTGTTCAAAAATGTGGGATATTAAAATTGAATTCGATACTCCAGCCATCCGGAAATTGCTTGTCTGTTTCACATGCGGCAACCTTCAAGACGTAGTCCAAATAGTAAGTGAATATACATGGTGACTCTTGACCTCCTTGTCCACAGCGGAACCATAATTCGAACCTCTCTTTCATTCCAAAACTGGACGCTCTAGTACCTCGGTACATACAAAATGGCAATCAGGTGTGATGCACCTGTTCTCAAGTCTAAGGGTGCGTTCCTTTCGGTGAATCCAAAAACGGATTTTAGATCTAAGAACGGATTTCGCGTTCCTTTCGGCAAATCCAAATCCGGATTTTTGATCTGGTGAATCCTTTTTGAAAAAGGATTCATTGGATTTGAAATCCGAAGAATCCAAATCCAGATTAACGGATTAGTGATCTACGCTGTTCCATTCACAGTGGATCCGAAATTAGTCAGATGATCCAGCGGTATTTCCAGTTGAAGTATTCCCATAGAGGTCGTAGAGTTTCCACGTTGCTGTCATTTGCCGCAAAACATCTGAAAACACTAGAAGATTGTTCCTGGTACATTAAAATATCCATATACTAACCATTTGTCTCTAAAGATTGCTTGAAATCAGAAATAAGTAAAAGTAACAAATGAACTGCTATCTAACTACAAACTCGCTTGTAGACGCGACAGGCACTCGATCGCGTTACATAAAAAAATCCGAGCTATGGAACTGGATCAAACTGGCCGACATTCTTTAGATAATTTTCAATTTCAATGCGCTTCTTTCTTTTTCTGTTTTATATGTTCCATCGTCGCTATTCGAACTGCCGACCACTAAATTCTGCACGGTATAATCGCATAATTTGTCAAACAGTAGAAAACACGTCATTTCTTGAGAGGCTGTCGTACATATTGCACGCGTTGGCGAAAGGTTACCAAGGTTACAAACCCAATTTCGGATTTCACGTTCCTTTCGACCTCGAAATCTGGCAAATCTAGGATCAAAAATCCGTTTTTGGATTCGCCGAAAGGAACACACCCTAAGACTTTAAAATCCTTGGAATATGATCGCAGGCGTTCGTTAGATAAATCTAAACAGCAATCAAAGTATCATTGTATTTGTCGATAACAGACGTTAAAACAAATATTACATAAGTTGTCGATCGATTTCTTCTCATACCTAATTGGGAGTCAACTATGTTAGTTTCGTAGGCCTCGTTTAGTCGTAACATGACAATTTTAGCCAATATCTTTCTCATGTTGGCTCCGATCGCCAACCACGGTAATTCTTTGCAATGTTTAACAGCCCCTTCTTATACAAACATGTTATTTTGGCATGTAGCCAGGTCGTTGGTACACTTAAAAATGACTAGATCAAATTATAGCGCAATTCGTTGTATTGCGCTGCGCTTATTGGAAACTTCGAAGGGATTTTGGGTTTTTCTGTTCCGTCAATCATTTTAGTGAAGGTGGGTTAATGCAAATCATACTGTAACGCGTTCACCCAGCTTGGCTGAGAATGACTCTAGACTGCTCAAGATTAGCGAAGGAAATCGTGATGTTGAATGGAGTTTTTTTGTCGAAGGAAGGAGGCAGACGTTGGTCTGTTCTTGCAAGTGACAAGAATAAGAAAGATCAGAAAAATGTGCGAAGCAAACTTACATGAAACTTAACTAGTCGGTTATTGCCCGAACAGGACGATCACAAAGCAACGAACCTTGAAACACGAAACAAAAAAAAGGGATCGAAGTTCACCAATCACGGATCACAAACCATGACCTTTTGAACTCGTGCAAGTATGTGTTTCCTAAGAGGTCCGCTAAGATAACTAACGGAACAGAAAAAGCCAAAATTCCTTCGAAGTTTGCAAAACGCACAGTGCGATACAACGAATTTCGTTATAAATAGCAAAAACAGCACACGGATGAGTTGGTTACTTGAGTTATATTTCAAGCCTTCAGTCTTCCGCTTGTCTGTTCCAGCACTTTTGTTGTTTTTAAATGTCTTTAAGACATGTTCCATTTCCTCAATGTTGGTGGATCTTCGTTCACCGTAATTCTCTGGATAAGCTCGCTTTGGTGGCATTTCAAGTTGCGGTACACGTGCAGCATAGTGTTCTTTGAAATGTTCTTAATGTAGAGGGAAAAAAGATTCTTTCAGCTCTTTCCCGGCTGTTAACGTCAGTGACGCTGTATTCGTTCTCTCGATCATGAACTTTCAGAGACCTCAAGATGGTGTTACATAAACTCGTTGTTGATAAAAACCTAACAAAACCAAGCTGCTGGATGTTAAGATCCCACAGTTAGCTCGATGTTTGCTATTGTCATCGGTATTCCGTCGGTAAAGAAATCAAACCTTCCCCAGTTGACAATGACTTGGGTGTTTTGGTTGACTCGTGTCTCACCTACAGTGATGACCGAAGAACAAATTAATACTGGCTGCTAGCTGTATCCTCAGGCTAAGACGTGCCTTATGATAATACATAGTACTTTCTTAAGCTTAAGGTCGCCGATGGGATGGTTCACTCTCTGTGCTCGGCGTCCTTATCTTCGCGTACTTGTTTGGCTGTTTTTTTTTTTATTGGACCGCTCCAACCTGCCTCGTCTTTGGGGGCAGGGGGCTAGTGTTTAGTTTCAATAAAGTCTCTCTCAGCGCCAAACAATTGATTTATGTGTCCTTTATTTCGATCTTTCCTGCCCTGTGTTAAATGGTTTTAAAAGACGCCTCTTGTTTACTTACATTCTAGGGTAACTTCATCCTTCATAATTCTGTAAAATTTTAGCAGTCTTGCATAACGCGCGGGTAGGCGTAAGAAGCCTTTACACTTCTTGGTGTTGTTGCACTGAGTGACCCAGACTATTGAATGTAGCACAGTTATTATCACAGGATTTTAAGCTCAACTGTCTCTTTTCTTCTTCTTTTCTAGCGCTGCAGCATTCAATCACGATAAAATAGTAAGCTTTTTACTTGAGTATGGGGCTGATCTGGAAGCAAAAGAGGTATTGGAAATGACGCCTTTTCTAATGGCTGTGACGCACGGAGCAGTCGAGGCTGCCAGGGTGTTGGAAAGCCATGGAGCTGACATTTTAGCAACTGACAATTCATTCAACAGTGCTATTCATTTGGCTATCATGTACAGAAAGTCTGAAATGTTAAAAACGCTGCTAGAAATGGACAAAGATCACCGTTTAACAAATATGACGGACAAAGATAAAAAGAACGTTTTTCACCTTGCCTGTGGACAGGAGACTTCTGAGGTAACTAACACCTATATTATGCAAAAGTTTTATCATTGACCAATATATATATTTAGTATACGGCTACAACAGTACGCGCTCTCGGATTGGCTGTTTTCTTGTAATGACCGGGCATTACTAGCTAGGTCTCCAAAGCATATACAAATTGTGTTTAACTTGATAGCGAACATCCTTATGGACATCATTGTTATAAATGGTCAATTACAGCTGTCAAAAAGGGTATCCGCTGACCAGTGTCACATGACCGTATCTCGGGCTCAGTTGTACAACTCACTGAGGTGTTGTACTTTTCAGAGTTATCAGCCGACCTGTTGTTGGTTTTAATTGATAGCAGGCTCAGATCCATAATGAAAAGGCCACATAATAAATAACTTATTAACCTCGTCCTTTCAGTCATTACAGGGAAACCTCAGACCTCGGCTTTGATGTATTTTCCTCGCTATCGCTCAGTCAAGGCATCAAGGCCTCGGCCTGATATTTCCCTGAAATGACCTCTCTCTCGGTTAATAAGTAGTATATAACTTACACTAGGAAGTACATTTACTGTGTACCTTCGATAAGGGAAAAAGCTTAACGCCTAAAACGGTGAAAGAATTGCAACAAATTGACAAAGATGTTGTTCCAGAAGTAAGTAAGGACAGAGACTAAAAAGCATCATTGAAATCTGGATACCAGAGAGGCGACTGACGCTTACGTGCGAAGAAAATATTATGCGAAACAAAGTGTCGAAGAGCAAGCGAATGTTTGCACTACACTGTAACCAAAAAGAACGATTTCAGAGTACCTGCAGGCTAAAGTCTGATTCAGCCTATCCTAGAGCTCTTTGGGCAAATTATGCCAAAACAGCCCCATCAAATGCCTACCTATTCCAGCCGACACTGGGACTCGTTTAACCTCTTGGGTACAGATCATGATCAGCTCTAACTAATTAGTGAGCTAAATCAGACCCAAGAGAATTGGACTGTATTTTACGCACCGAAAAGGCCCTCATTTTTAAGGCAAAACAAATCGGTTTGATTTATATTGTTTATAATACATTTAGTCTGTCGCAATTCTCTTCTCCCTTGCCACTAAAAAAAAAAAAAAGAAAGAAAGAAAGAAATAATCAGTTACTTTGACCGAGACCCCTATCATCTAACCGAGATGTAGGTTGATTCGCTGCTATCAGTGATAATGCTTCCTGTCTTTTCGTTCGCTGGACGTTAGTCTGTCTCGTACATTTCTGTTTAAGATTTTGACAATCCTTCTGGAAAGTGATGCGTGTCCACCGAACGATAGTGACATAAATGAAAAGGGACCCCTCCACATCGCAGCCGAGAATGGTTCACTAGATTGTGTGGTGGTGCTCGCCAAGTACGCATTCTTTAGAAGCTGTGTGAATAAAAGGGAAGCTCGGGGAATGTCACCTCTTCACTTGGCTGCCAGTAATAAACACGCGTAAGTAATGATGGCGTAAGTAGCAAATCCTTGCCATTGTTTTAATTTTCGTTATTGCTTCAGAAGCTCTTGGTGACGACGAAGAGCCATGAGCTGTTCGTCTGAAAACGACACCGTCACTATGAAGAGCGGGTTGTGAAAATGGAAGGAATTTTATTCAAAGAAGTCTTCACCTTTGAAGGGAAAGGGATATTGCTGACGAAATCTCTATTATTTTGTGCTCTAAAGGGTTAATGAAAATTCGGCAAACCCAACTTTATTATCATCAACGGCAGTAGTTTAAGTTAACCTCACACCCGCATCCACTGTCATCTTACTGTTTCAATGTTATAAGTAGATTAGCCCCCTGATCCAGGAGTTCACTTACTGGTTTTAGTTTTCTGCTAACTGAACTCTTGGAAGAAACTATTAGTAGGTGGAATATGATGGTCCAAGTACTCGTAGTCCTAACACCTGACATAGGACTTTTGTTGACAGTCACTAACGTTTGGAGAATCTGAAAGGTTTTCATTTTATAGTCAAAGTGAGTTGATACATCAATTGACGTGAGCAACTCACTTTTACTCTGAAGATGACTACTGCACAGGTTGTCGAAACGTCAGTTACTCTCAACAAGAGCACTAACAGGATTTACCCAGACGATCAAATTCCACCTGTTTGTGAAATGACTCCAGAGCTCAAACCTTTCACTGTGCCATAATGTTTCCCCGCTAGGAATTATTATTCTAATTCTTCTTCTTATTATTAAATTACCAAATAAACGCTTGAACTCCTCCTTCTCCCTACCGCGTGGCTCTACCACAAAAAAAGGGTCAGCAACAGATACTTAGGTGCACAGAACGTCTAAAAAGATCTGCAGTTAGCGTAATTTATGTATCAAGTGGACTTGTTGTTTCTAGAATCAATTTTCCTCATTTTGTCTACCTTTTTTTTTTAAATTTCAGGAGAACATGCGATTTTCTGATCTCAAAGGGTGCTGACGTCACGGCTAAAGACAAAGACAACATGACGCCCCTTCACTTGGCTGTTAAGGCAGGCTCATTAAAAACAGTAAATGTACTAACGAATTGCCTTTTGCCGAGTACACTGGAAGAAAAAGATCATGAGGGAAACACGCCACTTCATCTTGCTTGTAAATACAACCGTCTGGATGTGCTGCAGTTTCTTTTAGACAGAGGAGCTGATGTTACGGTCAGAAATCAGGGAAACATGACTTGTCTAGATGTAGCGATCGAGTGGGAAGCAGAGGAGGTGGCAAAGACACTCGTGAAACATCAGAGGTACGTTTATATAAGGACCTAATAGTGAGTATGTTTTTCCTTTAATATCAACCGATGTATCTATTATCATTATTACTATTATTATTATTATTTTTATTACAAGTGTTTATTTATCTTACTAGATTAATTATCCCGCTCGCCCTAGACCTAGATTTATTCAAAATTAGCATAATACTACGTGTTGCGTTGTGTTGTGTTCTCAAAATGGCGTGCTCACTGAAACATGGTGTCGAGAGGTGCTTACGTTTCTCGTCGCGGAGTGAAGAACGAGGAGGAGAAAAAAACACACTGTCACGTCCTTGTAAATAGTGTTGCGGAAAGCACCTAAAAATCGGAAGCAGTGTCCAGAGGTTAATCCTGTTACTTGTTCCAACTGCAATAAGATCTATCATTTTGCAAAGGTTTGCAATAGAAAAAACAAGCAACCAGAAATGATAACAAATGTGGGACACACTGTAGACTCAATGAAAACTCCAAGCGACTAGTGGTTCGTGAAGCCCCTCTCTCTGGAACCTGTCAAATGGACACTGCCTCCACATGTTACCTCATAAGCTATGCTGATTACTGAAACGTTGCTTAAGGTGGAGATCCTAAACTGTTCAAGTCGGACTCCAAGCTACGTCGACTGCGTTATGGCTCAGTCACGACTGTCCCATGGAAGTCTGTGAGCTGTATTGTGATCGCCAAGGAAGAGATCACATGCTTGAGTTTCAAGTAGTACGAGTAGAACAAAAACTCCTATTGTCAGCCTTAAATTCTGAAGAAGATGGTTCCTGAACAGTTGACTACAGTGGGGAAGTCCATACTGTAATGAAAGGAGTACCAAAAGTAGTCCCTACAACTATGCAAGTGCCTCCAAGTCTTTTAACCTTCGAGTCCATTAGTGCTCACTACAGTTATGTCCTCTTTGGGCTAGGATGTCTACCTGGTGAATATAACTGTATTGAAGTGGACAAGAGTGTTAAACCTGTTCAACACCAATTGTACCAAGTGGCTGTGCCCTAAAGCCAAAACTGAAGAAGAAGATTACTGAACTCGAGCAAAGGCAGGTGCTCGCAAAAGCCAAGTCACCCACTGACTGGATTAGCAATTTGGTGGTAGTACGGAACCATTAGGAAATTGAGGGTCTGCATTGACTCAAGGATTATAATCGTGCACGTAAACGTTCACAATACCCTATGACCACCACTGAAGAGGTACTTTATTGCCTTTCAAAAGCAATGGTGTTCTCTGTACTCGATGCAAAGGATGGATTTTGGCAAGAGAATCTTGAAGGGAAAAGCAGCTTCCTCATAACATTCTGGAACCCTTTCTGGTGGTATCGCATGTTGCTAATGCCTTTTGGCACATGCATAACACCTGAGGATTTCCTTCAACTGTTAACAAGACCTTGCTGTTTTATTTCACTTTTAATTTATATAACTCATCTGTGTGTGTGTCCCTTGCACGGCCTGGTACAAAGAGAGCCTCATAGAATCATTATTCTTAAGCCTTGGCCAATGTTTTCTACTCATTTCCAACTGCTGTTGGCTTTTGCCGACTTCATGAAGACCTTAAGAAAGTCATTTATTAATAAATGAAATTTTCCTTATTCCTGTGCCCGTAATTATAATATATTTAATCATTCTAGGTGGGAAGAAGTACTTGAAGGTTCTGCATTTAGGAAGTTAATAGAAAAGCTCCCAGATGTTGCAGAAATTGTTCTTGATCAGTGTGTCACCTACAGTCCTTTGCCTCCGTCGCACGAAGACTTTACCGTCACGTTCAACATGAGACACCTTGATCCGCACTTGATTGGTGTTGAAGACGCTGACTTTCCCCCTGCAATTATGGCCAGACACAAGAGAGAGAAACTGTTAACTCACGTTGCCACGCAAGTATTACTTCGTGTGAAGTGGACGATGCTCGCAAAGATATTTGCTTTTCTCAATGTTTTGCTGTTCACCGTCTTTGTCATAGTGTACTCTTGTCTCATCGTAGAGGCAAGAGATAAAAGCAAGCTGTTATCTGGGACAAAGGGTGAAGAATTAAATAAGGTATCACCTTTGAGCAAATTAAGGCCTCGTGTGATTCTTATCTTCGTGATTTTCCAACTTATAAAGGAAATAATTCAGCTTATGTGGATGAAGTTGGCTTACTTTCTGGATCTCTCAAACTTTCTCGAGTTGGTCATGTATGCAATGGTATGGATTTTTGTCTTCCCCTTCGCGTTTGATGACAAAGAGTTTTATAGTGCTAGATTCCAATGGAATGCTGGGATAGTAGGTTTGCTTTTATGTTACGTCAATTTGACCTTATGTTTCCGTCGCTTTGGTGGACTTGCCTTGTATGTGACAATGTACATTGAAGTTCTCTGGACTTTTGTTAAAGTGATTTCAACGTTCCTCGTCGCCTTGGTTGGATTTTCATTGGTTTTTTACGTTGTACTGCCAGGCCAGGTAAGAATATGAATTGGTATGAGGGAAAAAGTACATTAATGGAGCTAAAATTGTCTGGATTTGCTAAAAGGTACCGCCAGAATTTTTTAGCAACAGTCTAATTTGAGGCTTGTTCAATACTTGACCATTTGTTGCTCGTGATGTTTTCAGTAAAAAATACCCCTAACACGCTGCTGTAGACAAAAAAAACATGTGTTTAAAATTTTGTTTACATCTTCATCATCCAAATCCCCTACCTATCATTGCCCATAATTCTCTCCGTGTCATAACACACTATTACATTTGAAATCAGGGCGCGCGGTAGAAGTTGTTTTCCGTGGCCGGTTAATTTTCTAGACTTTTTTTTGCCGCCTTCAGCAAAGTTTTCCGGAAGGTATCGTTAAGCCCTATGAAGGATTAAGTCTCACTATTGCCAAAGTCTGCCTTCGTCCGATATGTTACCGTATTTCGTTTCATTTTGACTAAACGGGTGAAACACTGATCTCGGGCTTGAGACGGAAAGGCATCATATTTTGAGCGTCGTTGTGGGCAGTAACGAGTCTCTGGCCTCAAAAAAAGTAAGTTTTAGCCGTCGAATCTATTCGGCGAGAGAAAAATTGATGCATATTTCTGACCAGGCCAGAGACGAAGTGAAAAATTGTTTTGAAGGCCGGCGTCTATATGTCCCTTTCAAAACGGCTCGTCTACATCCGGGATCTTGAATAAATCGCCCGTGTCAGGAAAGTTTACCTGTGATGATTTATGAAGAGAAAGGGAGAGTAATTTGATGATATTTCTCCCGTATTAAGTGTGGACACATTGTGCCTGGTTGGTTGTGCATACTTTTGTCAGTGCCGCGAACGTGATTAATTGTATGATTTCCTGAAGTTGTTGGTGGACAGAATTCAGGTATGTCGTGGCGCTCTTGTTCTACGAATATTGTGTGCAAACATAAAAACGCTTCGTGAGTGTTTAGTTAAAGTGCCTCTGCCTTAGACAACCGATTCTGGGCTCAAGAAAGGTGGATTCTAGATCTGTTTTAGTCGGGCATCTCGCTATGAACCTCGTAGTTTGAGAGACTGAAAGGTCATAATTTCTGTAGTATTGTTCATTTCATTACAAATCTGTCGCTTTTGCGAAGAGCGACTTTTCGTACATTGCCAGCCATTAATTTTTCCTTTTTAAGCCCTAACTAGCGACTTTCAACTGCTTTTTATTCACCTCTAGGGTCAATTGTTAAAACGCACTTGAAATTTCTTTAGGTACCTTTTTGCAAATCCAGGCAGATATATATATCTTATCATTTTGAATACTCGTTTCCGGATCTGAAAGCATCTCTTTGTCACGTTTCAACGATAAAGGTGAAACGCAAACAAAAACAAAAACAACAAATTACACGAAAACGATAACCACTTTGGTACACCTTTTTTCCGTTTGCCATGAAGTGATGATTAATTTCTCAGTAAGGTTTTGAATTATATAAAGGCACAACTTTTTCTCCCATTTTCCAATCTAATTATCTGCAGCAGAGGATATCTTGAAGAACACGAAGTAAAAGGTGATTAATATCTCGGAAGTTGGAGAAGTATGACTTTCAAACTGTAAACCAGAAATAAAGGCTTCTAAGAAAGCTAGGGCTAGTCTAAAAGATCGTTTACAGAGAAGGGATAATGAAACAATTTGTCTCGCAGGAAAAAACTCAGTTAATTAATTAATCAATTAATTCTAAAACTCACAAAGACCGGTAACTAACCATCATATCATTGGTAAATGAAGTGCTTTTAATTTCTTCATCTACTCGTTCTCTGCCGACTAGGATTATTTCTCAACTTTTTGGTTTGCTGTGGGAAAGATTCATGTAATGATGGTTGGCGAACTGGATTACGGCGGTATGTTAGTGGACAAAATTTCGGAAAACGTCACAGCTCCAGGAAGTGATGCTTTATCAGTGCCTTTGCCTCAGCTAACCATTGGTTTGTTCTTCACGTTTGTGCTGACAGTCTCTGTTGTACTAGTTAACCTTTTGGTATGTATACACTCTTGTTAGCAATAGGATCATGAAATGCTTAAATATCCTTTCTCCTCTGTGATATATAATTAAACCGCATCCTCTAATAAGCCCCGCATTAATTCCCCAATCTCACCAATCTCGTCATAAACCCACCCCCTCCTAAAATAAGTAAGTAAATAAATAAATAAAATACAATGTCTCTGCATCTATCAAAATGTCTCCCCTAAGAATTAATTGTGTTAGAAGGTGGTTTAGTAATGCTTATTTTGTAGTGACATAATTCAATAATCAGCCTTAACATGTTTGAGATAGAAATACAGTCATAGCCATCATGCATCGACATACAATTATCATAATTTAGTTTATCACTGACGATACTTCATAGGTTGGTCTTGCGGTAGGAGACATCGAAGCAATCCAGAGGACTGCACGTTTACGAGCCTTAATAGATCAAACGTTACTTGTCCACAGTCTTGTTAAATACTATCCAAGGTGCATTCTCCAACGCGCACGAAAGAGTATTTGGGAAATAGAGCCAAACCGCAATACAATGATTAAAAGGTAAGAACGCTAAGCGACGAAGGTAGTTTTTTTTGTATTTTTACGTACCCTGGTTGATCCAAACAAACAGTTAGACACTAGCTAATATAACCTGAAATTGTAAGTCTTAAGTTACAAAAAGAGCCAGTATTTCATACCAAATTTTTTTTAAATCTCTGTCAGCTAAGACAGAGAGCCTTTGAACTTACAAAAAAAGAAGAAGAAGTAAATAGATAAAGGTATATACGTAAAATTGGGGGACAACGGAAGTTCTCTTGGAGTAATTTTGCTCTATCCGTGAAAACAGGGCCTAAAAATTAGTGCCAAATAGTTACAAGTACTGACAAAAGAATATGAATTCAAAGAAAACCACCACTTTACCGTGGTGGAGTGGTTTGCGTGACTCATTAGCCCACAGAGCTATGTCGGCTGGAGTCTTTGACTCCTGGTAGGGTCACCCACGCCGAACAGGTCGAACTAGGATAGAGACCGGACTAAGTGTGGTCCCCTGGTCCTTCAGGTTCGGGGTTGGGCTGAGGGCTTGTAACCCTCTCCGGTAAATCCCTGTTATTGCAGAAACCATGCCCAGAAGCAAAGAAAATTCACTTTATCGAGAGAACACTGTGGCTGGTTCTCACAATAGGAGTGACTCTATGATGCAAGGGAGCCAAAGCCCACCGAGCTGTGTAGGCCACTGGTACACCCCAAAAACATCATGGAGATCGGAAACTGCAATGTACGTACACTGTACAAAAGTGGTAACATTGCGCAGGTAGCGAAATAAATCACCGGTAGAAACATAGACATCATGGGTATTAGCGCAACACACAGGGCATGGCAAGGAAAAATGCAACTGACAGAAGGAGAAACCATCTTTTACTCTGGAATAGATGACGAAAATCATAGAGAAGGAGTAGTTATACTGATGTAAAGAAGTGCAGCAAGAGCCCTGATGGAGTGGACTTCAATCATTGAAAGAATCATTCAGGCATCAAACTAACGATTGTGCACATCTATGCACCAACCTAATAGGCGGACGAGTAAGTGAAAGAGGAATTCTACGTGAGATCGCAAGATGTAAAAGACAACAGGAAACAACGTGATGTGCTGATAGTCACTGGAGATGTGAACGCCATAGTAGGAGAAGAAAACTGGGATTATGATAAAGTGATGGCGAGCATGGGCTGGGACAGCGAAATGATAAAGGAGAAAGGTTGTGCGAATTGTGCGATATGAATGAGTCAGGTATCACAAAATGCAAAGAAAAACTTCTTCCTTCATGAGAACTTAAGCATGGTGACATGGGTATCGCCAGATGGGATAACCAGGAATCAAATCGATTACGTACTAATAAATAAAAGATTTAGGAATTCAGTGAAACACACCTGGGTATACAGGTCTGCAGACATAGGAAGTGACCATTATCTTGTATGCACAACAGTCAAATTGGGGTTGTGGAACCAAACAAAGAACAGAAAGGAATTAGAGTTAAGTACGATACGACCAAGCTGAAAAATGAAAACATCTTGAAGACATTTACCATAGCCCTGAGGAACAGATACCGAGTAGCTTGAGGATGAAGGGCTATTAGTAGAGGAAGATGAAGAAATAGAGCGTGGCTTCCAAGTGATGGAGAAGGCATGTACCGAGGTTGTAGAAAGGGTTCTAGGAAGTCCACGAAAGAGGAAGAAACCATGGATCAGCAAAGAATCATGAAACCTTGTAGACCAAAGGGAAGAAATCAATAAAAAGATTCACAGCACACGATCAGATAGAGTCAAGAGACAACTTAGGCCAAAGTGCACAGAAAAGGACAGAGAAGTTAAGAGGAGTATAAAAGTATGCGCAGATAAAAGGGAATGGGTGGTGACAATTGCAGATGAAGCAGAAGAAGCTGCAAAGAGCCAACACATAAAGACACTCTACGGGCTCAGAAAGATGCTGTGCAATGAAAGATCCAACCAGAGCACTAGGGTTCTAGACAAGAATGGAAACCTCATCAATAGTAAAAGTGTAGTAAATGCAAGATGGACTGAACACTTTAAGGAGGTGTTTGATAGGGAAGCACCAGCAAACCCAATAACTAACGATCAGAAGGATGACGTCCACGACGCAGTAGAGGAGATAACAGTAAACGAACCATAACACTAGGCGAAGTCAGTGAGAGCGGTAAAGGGATTACAGAATGGGAAAGCACCAGTAATTGACTCCATAACAGCAGAGTTACTGAAAGCAGACATGGCGTTTTCAGCGAAGAAACTACATCAACTAATGAATACATCAATGGCAGAATGAGAAGAGCCTGAAGGGTTGGAGGCGAGGGCTAATCACCAAACTAGCAAAGAAAGGAAATACCAAACGCTGCACCAATTGGAGAGGCAAAACAGTACTCTCTGTTTTGCGACAGGTACTATGCAGGTTTATTATTATATATTATTATAATTATAGGATAATAAGTGGAGTCGACGTTATGTTAAGGAAAGAACAGGCAGGATATAGAAAAGGCAGGGGGGACGAACGAACAGGTATATACTGCGGGACGTGATTGAACAGGTTAACGAGTGGCAAGCAACACTCTATCTGAACTTCATAGATTTTGAAAAGGCGTTCGACTATATCCACCGCGAAAGCATGTGGGCGAACATGAAGAAATACAGAATCCCAGAAAAGATTATTAGAATGGTAAAAATATTCTATGAACGCTTCAAGTGTGCTGTAGAAGACCAAAGAGGAAATATACGAGTGGTCTGACATTAAAACCGGCGTGAAACAAGGATGTAACATGTCAGGTTTTTTTGTTCTTGATTGTTATGGATGGGGTAATGAGAAGGGCCATTGGTTGGTCTTAAGTCAAGTGGAAATTCACATCTAACCTAGACGACCTAGACTATGCAGATGATGTAGTACTAATATCCTCTAACACACAGTTGATTCAGGATAAAACAGCAAGAATGGATGCTGAAGCCACACGTGTGGGATCAACAATCAACATGGAAAAGACAAAGGTGACGAGAATTAATGCAAAGAACCAGGAACTGATTATGATAGCCGGACAAGGAGTAACAGAAGTAGATGAATTCATTTGGGAGCTACAGTTTTTAAGGAGGGAGGTGGTGTGAAAGATCTGAAAAAACAGAATCTCAAAGCGAGTATTAAAGGAAAAGAATCAGAGAAATAAAAGCATCTGATAGCCAGTTTGCTTAGTGAGAGTGATTTTACTCATTCGTGAAATGGACAGTAGACCACTACGCACCACACTCTGATTTATCATTGTTTTCTTTAATAAACGAGCGGCAGAGACATTCCTGGAAAAGCGTGTCTCAATGGAGTTGATAACCATGACTTTTTTTTGAACGTTGGAAATTAGGATTCGAAAAACAAAACATTACGTATGAAATTATCTTGAAAAAAATCAAATCTCACACGTGTTTAGAAATTAATTTCCAGTCTACGAACGACACTAACCGAAGAGGACATGGCGTCTTGTTTCAGAGCTTTTCGGAAGCCTAAACATGCCGAGGAAGAGAGGAACAAGTGCAGTGAAAAAGTAGTATTCGAAAATATTGTTCTGGAATTGCCGAATGGTAGGTTAGCAAAAATCCAATACTCGAAGTCTTGAGTGCAACACTTGGACACTGCTATAGCCAATATTACCGCTGAGTCACTGAACTTTTGGCTGAGTAATATAAATTGGTGAAAGAACAAAGTTTAATTTTGTGCAATAGTAAATTCACTGCGTGTGTTACTTTGAAAGAACATTAAATATTCACCAACCATTTGTTGTGTCAGCTGCTGTCCTGAAGTTGATATTCATAAGTCACGTGCAGTGACATTATATCTAATAAAATACTGCATACTAATAAGAGGACGTTTTATTCAGATATAATGCCACTGCACGTGATGTATTATCGAACATTTGATAGGTCAATGGCCCTTATGAATTATTAATGAGTTTTCGAATGTTTGCTAAACATTATATTTGACACTAATTGTTAGATAGTGTTTCATGGGTTGAGTAAAAATCACTCTAACGTCTTAATAGGTAGGGTCGGCGCAACACTTTCTAACCTTCCCTTAAGTAGCGTGCTGGAAAGAGGTCAAAGAGGCACTGACTGGAGCCCTACTACTTTAGAATATCGGGCTCTGTAATGTATTAACAAAGTGACTTTCATGATGCTTTCTTTTATCCGAAAGGTTTATTTTTGGCGGCAATGATCCCACAGATGGAGAATTTATGGACAAGCTTCGTTATAACAGAAATGGAGAAGGGGTCTCAGAAGACGACTTTTACACTCGTGAGCACCTGAGACAAGAAAAGCAAGAGCAAGCCATTCTTAAACTACAAGCCACTTTAGAAACACAAGGCAAAATTCTCAAGGCGATGGCCGATAGGTTGAAAATTACAGAATATGATTAAACTTAGTTTTGAACATCAGTTTATCCACAAATGGATGCTGGCATTAGAAAAACCAGATTGATGCATGGGAGAAAACAAGATTGGGTATTCCAGAAGTTCGAAATTACGTCAGGTTTGACGTGATTAAGGCAGAGCCTTCTCTTCTCTTCCTCACTCAAAAAGACAAAAGGAGGCTTTGCTCTCAGGGTGGTGTTCGTCTGCCTAAAATGGGTGTTACAGGAGACGATTCGCAACAACGACTTTTAGGGCAACACAGCGATGCAATGATGGAACAATGTTGTAACTAATCGAAACAATGTCGCAACAATGTTGCAACGGTGTGTTGCCTTAAAAAATCGTCGTTGCGAATCATCGCGTGTAACATCACCTTAACTAAACCCTTCGCCCGTTTTATCAACAGAGTGGATCTGCGGTTGAGCTATTTGCACCTTGTATTTTATTGTCACCTTCTGATAGTCAATATTTTTAACCAAACGTGAAACCAAAATAAGATTGGTTTGGTGGTTTTAAAGTTATGCAAATGTTGACTTAAACATAATCAGATTAAAAATGTCTGTTGGCAGGGAGGACCTGCTGCCAGACTAGTTATTATTTTGTTTCGCTTTTGC